TGGCCCATCCGTGGAGCGCAGAGCACCAAAAGAAATATTACCAATAGCTAGGGTAGGATAGTGAGTGTATAAGTCAGTAGTCACCATTTAGATTATCTATTTTTGTTTTGGTCAATTTCCCTTAAATATTCACTTTGGATTATGAAATAAAATTTCGCAATATTTTTTCAAAAAGTTGTATTTCATAGAAGTTCTTGAAGATTTTACAAAAAGATAGAATATGACCTAGTAACAAAAACGTGAATACAAAGATACTATACACCTAACGACACTCATTGCCTCTACTCTCATCACTGCTCGCGTCCTCGTCATCAGTCCTTGGAGCCTCATAAGGGACGAAGCCATAAAAGTCATAAGCGGGAAAAGCTGCTGAGACCTTCCCCCTGAGCTCCTCGTAGCCATTAAAAAAGGCGTCTGCCACGGCCCTCTCAGTAGCATCCCTCTTCTTCTCCATCTCTATAGAGTAAGCTTCTGCCCTAGTAGTTCGCACAAGATCTGCTTGAAGGTTAGCCTCTGACACTATGGCCCTCTCACAAGACGCTCACAGCTCTGTCACTGCAATCTCTCTGTCGGCCTCCAGTTGGGTGGCCTTCTCACAGGACACCTGAAGCTCAGTCTCAAGTATGGTAGCTCTCTTGTGTACTAGCCTCGATTGCTCCTCGGCATTCTATTGTGCCTGTTGCTCGAGCCCCAATTGCTCTTCAACGGCTTTTCGTGCCTGCCTCTCCGTTGCTTGGCCATCAAGTGNATTGCTCCTCGGCATTCTATTGTGCCTGTTGCTCGAGCCCCAATTGCTCTTTAACGGCCTTTCGTGCCTGCCTCTCCGTTGCTTGGCCATCAAGTGCCTCCCTAATCTTCAACATAGTTGAAAACAAGTAGGGAAAAATAGCAGCCACCTACAGGCATTCAAAAGCTGTAACATGGAGGAAAGAAGTTAGGTATGAAGCCAAAGAAGAATGAAGGACATACCAAGGCAAAGCCCTCCATGGCAGCGTCAACAATGCCCTTTAGACCTCGAGAGGCAATCTTCTAGATCTCTGCACGAGTCACAAACCCCAAAGTCGCTCCTTAGCTAGTTTTACATTCTTTAGCATGGATACTGAATTACTGCTCAAAGTAGGATGACTAGGCAGAGCCTCTATCCTAGTAGGAGACCGCACCATAATAGTACTGGAACTATCTCTGGGGGTGAAGGAACAACCATCAGGGAAGAACGGGGGCATCATCATGTTTCGCCTCTTGGGAACTAGCCTGGTCGGTGGACCTCGGTTGAGCAACACCGGGGGCATCAAACTTTGACCTCTTAGAAGAAGGAGGAGAAGATGCCACCCGAGAAGCATAGATAACCACCACCACNGTGGACCTCGGTTGAGCAACACCGGGGGCATCAAACTTTGACCTCTTAGAAGAAGGAGGAGAAGATGCCACCCGAGAAGCATAGATAACCACCACCACCGCCTTGTTAGTGGAAGTACTTGCAGAATCGGTGTGAAAATAAAAAGCTTATAACGATGTAACCATAAAGAGCTTGTTGGAAAGATTAAATACCTTTCCTCTTCAGCCTGGGAGTAGCCTTGGAATGACCCAAAGCAAACATGATCCATGAGAACTCCTTAAATGGATGATCACATACCATATGGAGTCTACCCTCTTGCTCAGCGGATAATGTCGGTGAAGCTACAAAGAAGCCAATTGCACAGTAAGAGAAAATATGTGTGACAAGTAGAAGTAAAATCAAAAGTGGAGTCCTTATCTAGCTTGGTCCTGGGGACAATGTCTCACCTTGAAGGCACCAGGTCACGATCACTTTGGTGGCCCACTCGTCTCAAGCAAAGAAGAACTTGGTCTTCCAACTATGACAGTTTGAAGGAAGCCCAGTGATGAATTTACCCGACCTCGGGGTAAATCGATACCACTCTTGATGAGGGATGGAGTTCTCCAGGAGCACATACGTGGCCAAGAACTCCTTGAATGGGGGAGGGACATCAACACTGTGAAGACCCTGCCCCATTACCGGGACCCTGTCTTCCAAGGGTTAACCTCCCATTACCGGGATATCACCACCCTCCACCAAAGGATTTCGGCTAACCTGCGGGGCAAACTCCCACAGTAGCCTTTACCTCTGTCCCACATCGGGGAAAGAGTCGTCTCCCCACCCCCATATAAGCCGAAGCACCATATGAGAGCAGTACCCAAGTAGCACAGTGTGCTACTTGGGTACTGCTCTCATATGGTGCTTCGGCTTATATGGGGGTGGGGAGACGACTCCTTCCCCGATGTGGGACGGAGGTAAAGGCTACTGTGGGGCGAGTCCTGCTTTAGCCGAAATCCTTTGGTGGAGGGCGGTAATGCTCTTGGAAGACCTACATCCCGGTAATGGGAGGAGTCTTCACACAAAAGGCGCCTTTTATGTGAAGACCCTGCCCCATTACCGGGACCCTGTCTTCCAAGGGTTAACCTCCCATTACCGGGATATCACCACCCTCCACCAAAGGATTTCGGCTAACCTGTGGGTCAAACCCCCACAGTAGCCTTTACCTCTGTCCCACATCGGGGAAAGAGTCGTCTCCCCACCCCCATATAAGCCGAAGCACCATATGAGAGCAGTACCCAAGTAGCACAGTGTGCTACTTGGGTACTGCTCTCATATGGTGCTTCGGCTTATATGGGGGTGGGGAGACGACTCCTTCCCCGATGTGGGACGGAGGTAAAGGCTACTGTGGGGCGAGTCCTGCTTTAGCCGAAATCCTTTGGTGGAGGGCGGTAATGCTCTTGGAAGACCTATATCCCGGTAATGGGAGGAGTCTTCACACAAAAGGCGCCTTTTATGTGAAGACCCTGCCCCATTACCGGGACCCTGTCTTCCAAGGGTTAACCTCCCATTACCGGGATATCACCACCCTCCACCAAAGGATTTCGGCTAACCTGTGGGTCAAACCCCCACAGTAGCCTTTACCTCTGTCCCACATCGGGGAAAGAGTCGTCTCCCCACCCCCATATAAGCCGAAGCACCATATGAGAGCAGTACCCAAGTAGCACAGTGTGCTACTTGGGTACTGCTCTCATATGGTGCTTCGGCTTATATGGGGGTGGGGAGACGACTCCTTCCCCGATGTGGGACGGAGGTAAAGGCTACTGTGGGGCGAGTCCTGCTTTAGCCGAAATCCTTTGGTGGAGGGCGGTAATGCTCTTGGAAGACCTACATCCCGGTAATGGGAGGAGTCTTCACACAAAAGGCGCCTTTTATGTGAAGACCCTGCCCCATTACCGGGACCCTGTCTTCCAAGGGTTAACCTCCCATTACCGGGATATCACCACCCTCCACCAAAGGATTTCGGCTAACCTGTGGGTCAAACCCCCACAGTAGCCTTTACCTCTGTCCCACATCGGGGAAAGAGTCGTCTCCCCACCCCCATATAAGCCGAAGCACCATATGAGAGCAGTACCCAAGTAGCACAGTGTGCTACTTGGGTACTGCTCTCATATGGTGCTTCGGCTTATATGGGGGTGGGGAGACGACTCTTTCCCCGATGTGGGACAGAGGTAAAGGCTACTGTGGGGGTTTGACCCACAGGTTAGCCGAAATCCTTTGGTGGAGGGTGGTGATATCCCGGTAATGGGAGGTTAACCCTTGGAAGACAGGGTCCCGGTAATGGGGCAGAGTCTTCACATAAAAGGCGCCTTTTATGTGAAGACCCTGCCCCATTACCGGGACCCTGTCTTCCAAGGGTTAACCTCCCATTACCGGGATATCACCACCCTCCACCAAAGGATTTCGGCTAACCTGTGGGTCAAACCCCCACAGTAGCCTTTACCTCTGTCCCACATCGGGGAAAGAGTCGTCTCCCCACCCCCATATAAGCCGAAGCACCATATGAGAGCAGTACCCAAGTACCACATAGTGCTACTTGGGTACTGCTCTCATATGGTGCTTCGGCTTATATGGGGGTGGGGAGACGACTCCTTCCCCGATGTGGGACGGAGGTAAAGGCTACTGTGGGGCGAGTCCTGCTTTAGCCGAAATCCTTTGGTGGAGGGCGGTAATGCTCTTGGAAGACCTACATCCCGGTAATGGGAGGAGTCTTCACACAAAAGGCGCCTTTTATGTGAAGACCCTGCCCCATTACCGGGACCCTGTCTTCCAAGGGTTAACCTCCCATTACCGGGATATCACCACCCTCCACCAAAGGATTTCGGCTAACCTGTGGGGCAAACCCCCACAGTAGCCTTTACCTCCGTCCCACATCGGGGAAAGAGTCGTCTCCCCACCCCCATATAAGCCGAAGCACCATATGAGAGCAGTACCCAAGTAGCACACTGTGCTACTTGGGTACTGCTCTAATATGGTGCTTCGGCTTATATGGGGGTGGGGAGACGACTCTTTCCCCGATGTGGGACAGAGGTAAAGGCTACTGTGGGAGTTTGCCCCGCAGGTTAGCCGAAATCCTTTGGTGGAGGGTGGTGATATCCCGGTAATGGGAGGTTAACCCTTGGAAGACAGGGTCCCGGTAATGGGGCAGGGTCTTCACAAACACTATGAACTAGCTGCCATAATGAAAAGAATGCCAAGATTACCTTGCGTCCATTAGGAGCCAATGACAGGTGCCCCAGAACCCGACATATGGGCCTAGGTATCAGGAACCTCAAGCCCGCCTCCAAAATATCCTCATAAAGAATGATCTCTCCAAAGGAGTCACAACATGCTGGCTCGTCCTCCTCTGCCTGATGACACATTTTAGCGGGAGGAATGTGATGCGAAGATACCATACCAGCAATATCCTCGTTACGGTCAATGGAGCTAAATATGGAGGCTACCTTTGAGCACTTACCTCCAACAATACCCATGCCTCGCCTGATGTCTCGAGTAGTCTCCTACTCATCAGAATGGGTGCCTGTAAAAAACAATCAAGCCAATACTATGAAAATACCCGCGCCAACAAAAGAATGAATATGAGCACTAGATAACATACCCCATGAGCTCGCTTTGTCCAAATCACTGCTTAGCCGCTTCCTTGCACTACCCAAGCACCAAAAGTGCCATTGGACTTACCCATATGCTTCCTGGAGTTGCCTAATGTGCCTAAACCTCCACAAGCTTCACCTAGTGGATCCAAGTCATCATGGTCGCCTAGGACGCCTAAGAAGCCACCAGCGCCACAGAAACGGGCTCTACTGTCGCCTGGCTTGCAGTTGGTGTCACTAGGACGCTGCTGGCACTGGCCAGCGTGCTAGTGGTGCTGCTTAGCACATAAAAGATGCCACCAAGCTCTCTAAGGCACCTCCTGGTAGTTGGGTCGCCCCTGAGGTGTCGACCATAGCAAGCCTGTAGTTGTCTACCCTAATCTCTTCTCCCTCTTGTGCTCTCTCCCTCTTGCGGGCACCGTCCAATATCTGGCTGGCACTGCCCAGTAGCCCGCTAGTCTCGCCTGCCCAACCTTCATCTCCCTCTCGCGCTCTCTCCCTCCTGCGGGCGCCGCCTAGTAATTGGCTGGTATCGTGCACTAAGGCATCGCCCAACTCCTCCTCTCTCTTCTCACCGTCGGAGCCATCGCCCCAAGCGCCTAAAAAGTCACCAGCGCCATTGAAACGGGCTCCACCTTCACCTGGCTTACAGTTGGCATAGTTGGGATGTTGCAGGCACCGTCCAACGCGCTACTTGCATTTCCCAGCTCGTGGAAGATGCCTCCCAGCTCTCTAAGGCGCCTTTTGGCAATTGGGTCACCCTTGAGGCGTTGACCATCACAAGCCCGTAGTTGCCTGCCCTGCTCTTATCTCCTTCTCGTGCTCTTTCCCTCTTGTGGGCGCCGTCTAGCAGCTAGATGGCGCTGCCCAGCAGCCCACTAGTCTTGCCTGCCCAGCCTTCATCTCCCTTTCGCGCTTTCTCCCTCCTGGGCCAGCCGTGCCACTCAGCAGCTTTCTCGCGCCACCCCGCAGACCACTAGCTCTGCCCAAGGTTCTCCTTGTATGGGCTTTAAAATCTCTAGCTCCCACGATGATCTCAACTCCGCTATGGATGACTTCTTGACCCAATGATATACCTCTTGGCTCTCCATTATTCTCCATTGATGAGACCACTTCAAAAATCTTCTCTATGAAATCTCTTTTTAGACCCTTCCCAACCTTTAATGGAGTATCCAATGTCTCGAGGACATAGGTTGGAAAGGAGTGAAGTGGAGTTTGTCAATATTGAATCTATGAAACCTTGATGGAAAATGCCCAAAATGAGGGAAAAAGGGGTGGTTTTTGAATGAAACCCACTCTAGCTCAATGGCATTATTGTAATAAAATGGGATGGAAAAGAAAGCAAACCCTTGAAACACAAATCGAGGAAGAGGATGAAGAAGCTATACCATGGAGGACAAGAAATGAGAGCTCACTCATGCACTTAAAATCTTTGACACTACAAGAGTTTTGGGGCATGTGGGCAAATGATGAGCCCAGATCTAATTGGGCTAAACCCAGTAAAGCAAGCAAGCCCAAATCAGCTTCAAGGCAGCCCAAGCCCGCTTTATCAATCCGATCCTGTCCAAGATCCAGGGAGTTTGCGAAAGGATGGGCACTTGGGAGAGAGATCATCGGGATGGATACACAAGAATTAATTGTACTTACCATTTGTAACTATCGACCCCAAAGAAGTAGTGCCCTCACACTCATGTTAATGCCTCACCTCACAGCCCTACCATACCTATAAATTGTAAGCTCTCTTCACATGGAAAGACATCTCTCAACACAGCTTGACGCCTTTCTACACACACATAGCTTCTCTCTCCTAGCTATTATACTTCTCCCAGAGCATACATCTTGTAAAACTTTATCTCTCTTATTTTATTCATCAATAAAGACCACCAGCCACCGCTGCCATTTTTTGAGAGTGGAGTAGGTCACCCGAACCAAATCACCATATATCTGTGTGTTGACTTAATATTTACATTATTGCCATTGATTGCTTTATTTATTGTTCATTAATTGCACTTTACGATACACTCGACTGTTAATCTTGCACGAGACCAATTTGTGCATCATTAGTTATAATGGGGCCTCAAGATGATATTAAGGTAAATGAAATGAAGGATATAGGATAACAAAGAGGGTTGTTCCGAGTGCCTGACATTTATTTCAAAAGGATCTCCCTTTTATGGGATTTTCAGTCTACACCATCACTTCACTCTTTGTTTCTTTTTCTTCTTTTTCTTAACATTTTCCTTTTTTCTTTGATCATTCTTTCTTTTTTCACCCTTTTTCTCTCCCTTTCTTGAATTCACAATACTTTTTCATTCAACATATGAATTCCACATTCATCATCCCTTTTGTTGATTTTTCACATCACCATTTCTTCTCTTTCATGTTCGATCATATTCAGTACTAGAAACAACTAAGGTGTGGTAGATTTTTATCATTTTGCACTGGCTTGTTCAAAAGTGGGGTATGAAAATGAATTTACAATTAGGCTCAAACATGGCACAATGGATAATTTCACAAGAACAAGGTTAAGGAACAAAATAGATCAAGGATAGCCTAAGATCATATCTTGATAGCCTAAGATCATATGAAGATCAAACTATCACTAAACCCATAAACAATTAGGATAGGGGAATATAGTTCAATATAAGATATTTTCCACAAAAATTGTCCAAAATTTTTACATTTCTCACTATTCTATACAAAAAGTGGTGGAACATGTAAATGGTGCACCTCACCCCCAACTTGAACCATGCATTGTCCTCAATGCATAAGGAATCATACAATGAGAAAAATGAAAGTAACATGAGAAATGAGATACTCCCTTTTTTTTCTTTAGACACATTAAAGGGGATATGAAACACAAAAAAACTTGTTTACACCCCAAACTTAAACTCGCACATGATATTGAATAAGATTTGTTATGATAATGCTCAAAATGAATTGAGTCCAAATTAGGGAGAGGAAAAGAACTTCTACACTACAACAACATGAAAATAAAAATATAATAATAAAAGAATTTAACTACTATGTACATGAAAACAAAACAAAAATGACTCATGTCAATCTGGCTTCAATTCGGATATGAGCTTGCGCCCATTGATTTTTTTGATTTTGAATTTTTTTTTTGTATAAATGTACTTCCTAACCAATCTATCCAACAATACAAAAGATAATGATTCAAAAATCTCAACCAAACAGAGGTGTGTGTAAGTTTATGCAATTCCAATAATGGAGTGTACAATTTCTCTTTATAAATTTCTGCAATTAACTCCATTTGAATGCCCTCCCCAAGTTGGAAAATATGAACCTCAACACCACTCTTTGATGGCAAATTGACCTTGGGTTTATTAGCCTCATGTGAGATAATAACTTCATTAAAATTTTCACAATCAAGAGTGGTGGGAGATTCAATCATATTGCATTCCATAGAAATAATCATCCTCAATACATTGACTATGCTCAAAATGTTGTTTTTCACAATTAATAATTATGACATTAGTCAATGCAATAAGGTCATGGGCTACTTGGGCATTGAATTTCATTTGGTATAGCATAAACTTGCAAAGAGTATTTTTCAATTCTTGTTTGGTTGAGTCCTCATATGTTGAATAGTGGCAAAATTCATTTGGTGGTGTGGGATAAGATGAAAAATTATAAGTTTCGTTCTCACAACCATAACTTGGATAACTCGTTGCACATAATGGTTGGAGTAAAAATTTTCAGGGGCCAATATTGAAATTAGTCTTGAACCGTATAATTTAATGGGCACTCACTAGTGATGTGCCCATACTTATCATAAATCTCGCACACATTTTCAAAATTTGGGGCATTTAATACATTATCATAAAAATTAGGAAACATAACACAAAACACAAACTAAAACCAACTATTTACAAATGATATGACATACCTTGGCCCATGATGAAAATCATGAGACTTACCTATGCCATCCAAAATCCCCTTCGAATTTGACGCTTAACCTTCCTCGGCAACGGCTCCAAAAATGCTTTGGTTATTCCATCATTCCTAATTTCCAAGCATGATTCTGATACTGTGTATGTGGCTTATACGATTAGGTGAGTGTCACTCTCCCTTAGATATCATGTAAGAAATGGAAAAATGGGTGTGTAAATGAAAATGTGTCTGTGCAAAAAGTGCTCTCCAAGTGTAGAGAGACTTTCGAGTGTCGTGTTTTACTTGGAATGAGTATTCCAAGTTCTTCTCCTTAGGAAAGGAAGGTGAATTGTGTTGAAGGCGATTTTGCGAAAAATAGAAAAGGAAATTCCCATACATTACGAGGAGGAACGAATGATAGTCGATTTCACATACCCAAGAGGAAATTCCCCTTGAATTAGCCATCATAATGTAAGAAGACATGATAGTGAAATGGAACATAGAACTTGTATTAATGCAAGAAAAGAGTTAAACTACAAGAGAGAATGCATTCATAGTCAAAATATAAAGGTTGGAAAACAATACCCAAATGTAAAACTTGAAAATGCTAGAAAATGTTACTAAACTTGAAATACACTTAAATGAAATGTAAGAAGTAAAGGTTACAAGTGATTTAAAGTTTACTACAATTGAAATGGAGAAGAAAATACAAAAATCTAAATTTCTCTCTCCGGAACTTCATGTTCTTCATTGGAAACTTATCTCTCTAAAACTTCTCCTAAGCTTAGGTAGCATCTCTTCTAAAGTTTGTGTGAAGCTGAATATATGGTGTAGAGCCCTTGCATTTTCGTCCATAAGGCTCCCTATAGCCTGTGTGTGCAGGCTTCCCATCAATGGGAGGTGAGATCATGGATTGGAAAGGCTAGGACAAGTTTAGCCTGCACCCACCATGTCTCCATCCTTCTATTTCCTCCTTTTCCATCCTCTATCTTCCAAGGCTGACTTTAGGGGGTAGAAGGCATGTACGTATGTAGAATATGTTAGGGTACAAGTGAGAGAATCATAGGTGGGACCCACTAGTTGCAGTGCTTGAGTTACAGGTGTTGTAGAGGTTTTGGGCCAAACCTTCTGGAAGGTCGAAGCAAACCTTCTGAAAGGTTTTTTTTCAGTAGGCAAAACCTTCCGAAAGGTGACAGCTCAGAACCAATTTTTGTAAAATTTTCATAACTTGTGATCCAACTGTCTGACTGAGCTAAAATTTTAACAAAATACATAGGACACCCAGATATACAACTATCATGCTTTTCACTGTTTCAGTTTCGAAGTGGATCATGGTGAAAAATGGGGAAAACAGAGGTACCAATACTAATGGTGCGGGTGCTTGTACCAAAATTCATGTAGGCTTAGATACCGGTGCCTATGATACCAAATACCACCACCTACTTGATTTCGTTCACTTTAAAGCCTCTCAATCCTCATGTAATGTGACCATCTCTTCATCACTCATCCACACTTAGTTGCAGGGTTCTGAAAGCTATCATTTACCCTATGATTGCATGCAATATCAAAATTTTCACATTATTCATAACTTTGACTAACTCTAAGTAATTAAATGAAAAGTTAAGTTAAAATGTATGGAATGAGGCCGTTAAATATGCAATATTACATGCTCATCAGCTAGATACATTCATTCATTCAAAAGTTAGATGAAAACATTAAGCATAATAGAAATTGAACAAATATATTGCACAAACAATACATTACAAATCAATCACCTTTCATTAAGAATGGATGAGAAACTACTGACTCTTCATGGCCACAAATGAGCTAGAAAAGTGAAAGAATCTCATCCCTCTAATTAAAGAGAACTATAATTACAAAAGATGAATACAAGCTCTTTCTTCACTAAAGAATGAATGCAATAATACTTACCCTTAATTGCTTCAAGGGAAGCTACAAAAGTGAGAGAAGTTTATCTTTCCAAATGAAGAGATTAGCATTACAAGAAGAGATAAATAAAATGCTTCTTTCTTCACTAAAAAATGAATAAAATGCTACTCACCCTTCATGGCTTCAAAGGAAGCTAGAAAAGTGAGAGAAGTTCATCCCTCCAAATAAAGAAGAGATCTTAACAAGAAATGTAAAAGTTAGGAAGGTAAACACTACAAAACTAGAGAGAATTTGAGAGAGAAGTGCTTCTAGGCATC